GGAGAACTCATCGTACTGGACATTGGATGAGCTTCAGACCAATGCCAGGCGCAGGGAGATTGAGATAGAGTTGCAGACGAGAGAGGAGGAGGAGTCCCGGGGTAGGGACCGGAGACCAGTGCAGTCGCAGCCGACGACGAAGCGGGCTAAGCCCGCTGATATGAGAGTTGGGGTCCAGAAGGGCCGCACTTATGGAAAGTGCGGCAAGATTCATGAGGGGATGTGTCGGGTAGGGATTTGCTACAAGTGTGGCAAAGAGGGGCATATGGCGAAGGATTGCCCCAAGGGGTTTACAGTTTGCTTTCACTACAACCAGACAGAACATCAGAAGGCCGAGTGTCCCCAACTTATTCAGGGATCAGCTCAGGGTTCTGTACCTGCTGCTTTGCGTGCTACGGGCAGCTGACTAGCGAAGGTTGAGACACCGAGCGTTCGCGAGAGAGCCTTTTAGCTGACAATGGAGGAGGTCCACGCAGCACCTGACGTCATGGATTTTACGTATTTCTTATTTATATTCTTTTGAGATATGTCGTGCTTATATTATTTTGTGTGTAGATACTTTTCTTGTGAATTATGTAATTGCTTTGGTGTTATTTGACTCGGGTGCGAGTCGATCCTTCGTGTCTTTAGCTTTTAGTCATCACATCAGTATTCGACGTGAGGCGTTGAGCCGACCTTTGAGAGTTTCTATAGCCGACGAGCATGCAATTTTTGCTACTGATGTGATCTGAGGATGTGTGCTTGAGATTTTCAGTGTTGAGTTTCTGATAGATCCGGTACCGATCGCGATGTGTGGAGTCTGTGTCATATTGGGCATGGATTGACTGAGTTGGTTTGGAGCTATTATCGACTGTGAGCATCAGATGGTGACCATACGAGACCCTAGTGGGGGAGTGCTTATGGTGTATGCCGAGGGTACCAAATTAGGATCAGCTTCCTGCTCAGCTGCCAGAGCAAGACAGAGTTTACAGTAAGGTTGTAGCGGCTTTTTGGCGTACATGATGGATACGCGGGTTGTTAAAGAGGGGTCGAGTTCTATCGGCGAGGTTCCGATAGTGTATGAGTTTCCGGATGTTTTTCCCGAGGAGTTGTCGGGTGTGCCTCCCTAGAGTCAGGTGGAGTTCCGTATTGATTTGTTTCTGGGAGCGGCGCCTATTACAAAGGCACCTTATCGCCTTACGCCACTAGAGATACAGAAGTTGTCCTTACAGCTTTCGGAGCTGCTGGGGAAGGGTTTTATCATATTGAGTAGCTCACAGTGGGGAGCGTCGATCCTTTTTGTCAACATAAAGGATGGTTCACACCGGATGTGTATTGAGTAACAGGAGTTGAACAAGCTAACGGCCAAGCACAATTATCCATTACCAAGGATCCACGATCTATTCGATCAGTTATAGGGGGTGTCTTGGTTTTCCAATATTAATTTGAGGTCTGGGTATCATCAGATGAGAGTCTGCGAGGAGGATATCTAGAAGACGTCCTTTAGGACTCGTGATGGGCACTACGAGTTTGTGGTGATGCCTTTCGGGCTCATCAACGCACCGATAACATTCACGGACCTCATGAACTAGGTGTGCAGGCCTATGCTGCACCGATCGGTGATCATGTTCATCGACGATATCCTGGTGTATTCGAGATCCAGAGAGCAGCACGAGGAGCATCTTAGAGATATTCTTGGTGTTTTGAGGATGGAGAGGCTTTATGCCAAATTCTCTAAGTGTGATTTCCGGTTACGAGAGGTCCAGTTCCTGGGACATCTCATAAACCAGAATGGGATATTGGTCGATCCGGCCAAGATTGAGGCAGTTATGAGATGGGAAGTGCTGAGATCCCCTACCGAGATCAGGAGTTTTCTAGGTTTGGTCGGCTACTATCTGAGGTTTATTAGAGATTTCTCCAAGATCATCGTTCCTCTCACCAGATTGACCCGGAAGGGTGTTACTTTTGCTTGGGGGCCCGAGAAGCAGCCTCATTTGAGACTCTTCGCCAGAGATTGTGCCAAGCCCCCGTGTTAGCCTTACTCGAGGGAGTGGAGGACTTTGTAGTTTACTGTGATGTGTATATATCAGGGATGGGTGCGGTGTTGATGCAGCGGGGGCATGTGATAGCATACGCATCGAGGCAGTTGAACCCTCATGAGACGAGGTATCCCACCCATAATCTGGAACTGGGGGCGATTGTGCTCACCCTCAAGATCTGGTGCCACTATCTGTATGGGGTTCAGTGTACCATATATACGGACCATAAGAGCATGAAGTACCTCATGGATCAGCCCAACTTGAATATGAGATAGAATAGTTGGTTAGATGTAATGAAAGACTATGACTGCGAGATCTTATATCATCCGGGAAAGGCTAATGTGGTAGCCAACACCCTGAGCCGTAGAGTAGCGAGTGCTCTGATCCGAGATGTGTGTATAAGGATGACGGTGATGACGCCAATCCTAGATACTATTCGAAAGGCCTAGGTGGAGGTTGTGAGATCGAAGAACCGCAAAATGGAGCGGGTGATTGGGCAGGTGTTTGAGTTTGTGACAAATAGTTGTGGGCTTATGACTTTCCGAGGAAGATTTAGGTGCCCTACAGGGGTGGCGTCGGTGTATATTGATGGAGGAGGCGCATAGATCGAGATTCTTGATCCATCCAAGGGCCACTAAGATGTATTTGGACCTGAATGAAGACTGTTGGTAGCCCTGTATGAAGAGGGATGTGACATGGGTAGTTGAGAGATCCTTGAACTGTCGTCGGGTCAAGGTAGAGCACCAACGTCCACATGGTCCGTTACAGGCTTTAGAGATTCCCCAGTGGAAGTAGGAACATATTTCTATGGACTTTATCACCAAGTTACCGAGGACTGTGCGTGGAGTTGACGAGATATATGTGATTGTGGATCGGCTGACGAAGAGTGCTCACTTCCTCGCTATCAGTGAGAGCTCTTCTACAGAGAGACTGGCCGAGATTTATGTGAGAGAGGTGGTAGCATGACATTGAGTGGCGACATCGATAGTGTCAGATCAAGACATGCGCTTTACTTCCAAGTTCTGGAAGAAATTCCATGAGGAGTTGGGTAAAGACGTGCGCATTTCAGTACCGCATACCACCCGCAGATGGACGGGCAGAGAAACCAGACGATTCAGACGCTTGAGGACATGCTGCATGCATGTGTTATGGACTTCGAAGGATGTTGGGACACTTATTTTCCCTTGGCTGTGTTTTCTTACAATAACCATCATTCGAGTATTGGTATGCCTCCCTTTGAGATTCTATATGGGAGGAGGTGTCGGACTCCCATCTGTTGGGGAAAAGTAGGGCAAATAGTGATTGGTGGCACTGAGATAGTGCTAAAGACGACCGAGCAGATTCAGCAGGTCAGACAGAGGTTACTTACGACCTTGAGTCGCCAGAAGAGTTATGCATACAGGCGACGATCTGAGCTAGAGTTTTAGGTGGGAGATTTTATCCTCCTGAAGGTATCCCCGTGGAAAGGGGTGATTCGATTCAGGAAACGGGGCAAGTTGGGGCCCCGATACATCGTCCTTTCAGAGTGACCGCCAGAGTAAGTAAGGTAGCATACCGGTTGGAGCTACCTGCAGAGTTGATCCAGATTCATAACACCTTCCACGTATCTCAGTTGAGGAAGTGTGTAGCCGATGAAACGACGGTGGTTCCCTTAGAGGACATTCAGGTAGATGCAAACCTGAATTACATTGAAAGGCTGATAGCAATTTTAGATCGGAAGGTGAAAGTGTTGAGGAACAAAGAGGTGCCCTTGGTTCAGGTACAGTGGCAACATCGGATAGGGTCTGAGTAGACTTGGGAGCCGGAGTCCGAGATGCGAGAGTAGTACCCATAGTTATTTTCGGAGCATGACTTCGAGGGCGAAGTCTGATTCTAGTGGTGGAAAACTGTAACATCCCAAGTCTAAATATACCTTATAAACGGCTAAAGTATTCAACACTTTCACTTCAAAATGTTTCATATATCAAAATTAATTTGGATTCACTTTATTGGATCGGATCAAACCAACCCATCAAAACGAACACCTCTACTAAGCTTTGATTGGGAAACCCTTTATAATGTTTTTAAAATTGTTTTACAATCGAAACAAGAAATAGCTCGAACCCATAGACCCAACTTTATTATTCGATATATTTCATAGACCAACTTTATTATTCGACATATTTTCAAAATGATTATGAAAAGAGAAATTAAATAGATTAAATAACAAAATTAGTTTTATGGGTTACGTTTTATTTTTTGTTTTGATTGTAAAAAAAAAATATCAAAATGCTCTTAAAAAGTTTGAAAAGGTTCTAAAATAGTTGAAAAAGACTTGTAGAAAAAGGTAAAAATATTGCAAATTTTTTTATAAAAAAGTGCAAAATAAATATTTAAAAAGTTTGTACAAAAGGTTGTAAAAAAGTCTTAAAAATGTTAATTTGTTAAGAAAAACTAATTTTAGAATGAATTTATAAAAAAATGTTTAGAAACAAAATCTTAAAAAAATTAAGATTTAGGTCAAGATATAAATTATAAAATAATAGATGCAAAAAATTGACAACTTAACAATACTATAAACAAAAGGTTTTGTAAAAACAGTTTTGACCCTTTAATTTAATTTCTAACACCCACAAACAAGACTACGTAGATATTGCTTCAACACAGTATTACATACCCACAAAAAGGAATCCCACAATCATAAAAGAGAATCCTCCAAAGATATTCTCTTTTGTTGCATCTAACGCATAGTACATGTATAGATGGACAAGGTACAAGCAGCAAAACATAAACATTGTGAATTAATATACAAAGTGTTCATGCATGAGGTACAACTAACAAAGCACACATGCATGATGTCATTTGAACGTAAATAGCAACAAAATATTCTGTCAGACGTTACTTACCATCTACTATATAGTACATGGAAATCCCTAACACGTGTGACGTCTTTTTTAATGTCATTTGGCATGTAGCTCTTGTAGTTGTATACAAAGTAACATCAATATATAGAGACTTCTGAATATAAATAACGAAATATATAATCTTACAGGCACTACAGCGGCGATATATGGCTTTGCTCAATTCATGGAGTTTTGTTAATTAAGCTATCAAATTAACATCATCAAGGATGTTTATTTACGCTAGATAATAGAAGACCTTTTCCAAACGACACATATTTGTTTGCCAATACCATGCCTAACAAATGATCCAGAAAAAAGCACAAGTTGATAAACAGAGAGAGATATATCTGCGGTTTTGTTAATTTGTTTTCGTTAGTTTTCAACTCGATCCTAGCTACTATTTATTTATTGCTTTGTTGATTGTGGAAAAATTACGAGATTTTCCCTGCGATTTTCGTAGGCGGAGAACATGGAGATGTCTTCAATTGAGTCAGAAAGCGTCTCTAAACAAGGATCAATTCAAAAAGGAGGTCTTCGAACTATGCCGTTTATCATAGGTACGTGAATCAACTACTTGCTTCTTGTGGTAAAAAGCAAATGATCATATAACAAAACTTTAATTTGCTTAGTTTTCTTGTTAAATGTTTGTAGTTAATGAGGGGTTTGAAAGGGTTGCGAGTGTTGGACTTCGTGCAAATATGATCTTGTACCTGAAAAACGAGTATCACTTAAGCAGCGCAACTGGAGCAAGCATCTTGTTCTTATGGGGAGCCATCTCAAATTTCATGCCTACTTTGGGAGCTTTTCTATCCGATTCATATTTGGGTCGTTTTCGCGTGATTGGAATAGGATCAATCGTTTCTTTGATTGTAAGCTAAAGTCTCATCCTAATATCAACATAATTTCACACATATATTGAATGTCTAATCAATGATGTAATTATGTGCTTCTTTAGGGAATGACTATGGTGTGGTTAACGACGCTATTTCCAGCAGCAAGACCACGTAGTTGTGATCCAACGGTTGAGAGCTGTACAAAACCAAATCATCTCCAACTCGCCCTCCTGTTCATGTCTTTTGCAGTGATGTCGATAGGCTCAGGTGGGATTAGGCCATGTTCATTAGCCTTTGGTGCAGACCAGTTTGATCAGCCTGAAAATCCAGAAAACCCAAAAATCCTACAGCGTTTTTTTAACTGGTACTATGCTTCAGTTGGGATTTCTGTGATGATATCAGTCACAGTTATTGTTTATATTCAAACGGAGAAAGGATGGATTTTAGGTTTTGGAATTCCCGCAGTGTTGATGTTATGCTCAACTACCATGTTTTTCATCGGTTCTCCTCTTTACATCAAAGTGAAGGCAAATAAGAGCTTGTTCACTGGCTTTTTTCAAGTTGTTGCCGCATCTTTCAAGAATAAAGATCTTGCTTTTCCATCAAAAAGTTCGAACCATTGGTTTCATCACAACAAGGGTACCAAGATTATCGTACCCACGAACAAAATACGGTATTTTTCATCATCTAATGTCATCAATATTTACACTATTTGATTACCAAACTTTCTAGTATACTCCTGCAAGCTCACGATAGCTAGCTATACGTGGAATCAGGTAACGACAACATGCAAGAAGCATGACCAAGTTAGGCATAGATCCTTGATAATAGCATTTACTAAAAATTGCTTTGGAAACTCCTAAAACAATACATAAGAATATGGTTAGATTCGTAGTATATTCTCTTAATTGATTTATAAAATCTAGTCTTTTTGTCTTTGTTAATAACGCAAAGTGATATAAGCGATATATATTACTATTAAAAAAAGACTAGCTAAATCGGATATACATTACTATTAAAAAAAGAGTAGCTAAATCGGATATATTCTTTCTTGTTTCTTTCTCTTATCTTTATGTAGATTCTTGAACAAAGCCTGCATACTGAAGAACCCCGAGAAGGATGTGACTCCTACAGGAGAAGCTGTAGATCCATGGAGCATGTGCACTGTGAAGCAAGTCGAAGAATTCAAAGCACTAATCAAGGTGCTCCCGATATGGTCTACAGGCATAGTGATCGCAGTCACTGTAAACCAACACTCTTTCCCTGTGCTACAAGCCAACTCCATGGATCGACATGTGATAGGGAGTTTCAAAATTCCACCAGGATCCTTCGATGTTTTTGCATTACTAACTTTAACCATATGGGTCGCTCTTTATGACCAGCTTCTAGTACGCCAGATTGCAAAACTCACAAAAAGACCACAAGGTTTTAGCCTAAAACAAAGAATGGGAATTGGGATTTTTCTTTCATGTATAGCCATGGTTGTGTCAGCGACTGTGGAAAGAAAGAGGCGCGATGCAGCCATTACCCAAGGGCTTTCTAAGAACCCTTATGGAGTAGTAAATATGTCTGCATTCTGGCTAGTACCACAGTATTCGTTGATAGGTTTAGCTGAGGCATTCAATGCAATAGGGCAAATAGAGTTCTACTACTCTCAGTTTCCAAAGAGTATGACTAGCATTGGAGTGGCTCTATTTGCACTTGGGAATGCTGTTGGAAACCTGGTCGGGAGTCTAATTGTTGGGGTCGTGAATGGGTACTCAAAACAAGGTGGAAGAGTGAGTTGGGTTTCAAACAATTTGAACCAAGGTCACTATGATTATTACTATTGGATTCTTGCCATTTTGAGTTTGGCAAATTTTTTCTACTTTTTAGGGTGTAGTTGGGCTTATGGTCCTTGTGATGATCCAAAACAATGGGATGATGAAGCAGAAGAAGTTGAGGAAGTTCAAGAGATGAAATTTGTGAAGGGATCTTCATCTCCCATGCATCATAGGATCTAGATGATCTTCATTGGTACGTGCATTTGGATTTGTAATTTCACTAGATCTTGTTTATTAAGTAGTATGTTGTGAAATTGATTGGTTCGTAGTTGTTTGGTTGAAGCTGATGATGTAGGTCTTTGGAGGCATGAGTATATATATTTATATACCGTATAAAACTTAATTTTGTAAGTGTTGGTTGTCTAAAATGAAAAATATATATATGAATGTAAGGGTGTGTACAATACAATGAATTTTTTATGGTTTAGCATATTATCACATCATCATTCTTTTTTTTTTTATACAATTTCAACAAAATTTTTGTATAATGTATTGAACTCTGAAAAGTTTAATAAAAGATATATTTAAAAGGAAAATCTCCAGAAAAGTTTTAAAATTTTAGTCTAATTTATGAAAAAGTTTCAAACTAATTTTTGTTTACAGAAAAGCACAGAATACCGATTAAAACTTCGAATAAACCCTTTTTGGCCGGTCTCGTAGATTTAGCCGGTATTTTGTCATTTTTTGTTAGTTTGCTCAAAATATTAGGACTTTTCTGAAAATTACCCGATAATCAAATATTGAGACTTTTTTGAAAATTTTTATGGAATTAACGGATATTATTATTAACAAATCATTTATAAACATAAAAAATATTTTTTATTATAAACAAAGGAAATACATTTGTTGCTAATTTCTAGAAATAGAATGGTCGACTATGTACTTCTCTATGGTTTGTTGACCACTTCAAAATCTCTATGTACTTCCTATGTATCGTTGTGGGTGTCACTGTGACAAGTACTCTGTTAAGCGTGACCAATACAAGAGTTGACAATATTTATTAAAACATAATTAATAAGTGTCTACTTGTTATTAGCCATGATGCTATATGATAATGTTTTATTAGAAAATATCATTACACGAACATATAGATCTTTCATTATGTTCTAACGTAACTACTACCTAACCTCCAAACATTACCCGGTAACAATCATAAAATTACACACATCTATTGAGAGTGAAAAGTAAAATTTGAATGACAATTTAAATAGATAATCATCCTTCACTTGTTTCCATATAAATTATCATTTACGGTTCATTTTTCACATTTTATAGATGTGTGTTAGCCGATGGTTGTTAACATGTAAGGTATGAATGTTGGTTGGTAGTTAGGTTAAACAACGTAAGAAGACCACCAACATTAGAGGAATGCTAACTAAGTTCATCTCACCATCATACTTATAACAATGCATAGGAAGAACGTAGAGAGTTTGAGTGGTCAGAAAAAAAAAAAAAAAAAAGGAGTACTTAGACTACCAATTTATTCCAATAAATTAGCAACAAATGTATTTCCTTTTTATAATAAAAATATTTTGTATGTTTATTAATGATTTGTTAATAATAATGTCCATTAATTTCATGATAATTTTCAAAAAATTCCCAATATTTTGATTATTATTTATTTTTTGGAAAACTCCCAAAATTTTGAGCAAACAAACGAAAAAGGACAGAATAACGGTAAAATCTGCGAAACCGTTCGAAAAGGGTTTTTCGAAGTTTTAACCAGTATTCTGTGCTTTTCTGTAAATAAAATTTAATTTATGACTTTTTCATAAATTAGACTAAAATTTTAAGACTTTTCTGGAGATTTCCTTATTTAAAAACTAAAAAATTTCATTTTTCCAATAAAAATTTCATGAACTTCATATTCTTAAATACCAATATAATAACCCACAATAATGAAATTTAATCTTTTAAATGTCAATTAGAGATTTCATATTTCATTCGTATTTATGATGAAAATATATACACATTAATGGGTTATTCTCACTAGATCTTGTTTATTAAGTAGTTGACAAAAACGCAAACACACGAACTTCCCAACTTGAACAGTTTATTTAATATAAACCAGTTCGATTATACATCAACTTACATCAAAAAACCTCACTACAATAACACTCACACTCGGATAAAAACCTAATAACAAGATCTAATGAAACTATGAACTTCTATGAGAGAAACCCTAACAGATACCGAGAGAGAAAAGAAGATGAAAAATATCTAGATCTGATCAACTGATACAAAATGACTAAGCTTCTTCTCTTAAATACTTCGGATACTTGACCGACCCATAAAGCATCTAAGATCCGCGCATTAACCCGAATTATATCACCTGCATACAATTTATACACTCTACCCACAAATAGCAATATTATACAAAACATATCCTTCAACATTTAAAGTTCAGTTTGTCAAATACTAAAGGTATTTTCAACACCCCCCCCCCCCCCCCACAAACTGAACATTAACACAATTTATGATTTTTTTATATTTAAAAACATTTATTAAACCTAGTCTATTAGAAATATATTCATGTTGAGAAGATCCAAGAGCTTTGGTGAAAACATCTGCATTTTGATTTAAAGAATCAATCTTATTAACTTTTATAATACCATTTTCAACTTTTTCTCTAATAAAATGAAGATCCACTTCAAAATGTTTAGACCTCTCATGAAATACAGGATTTAGTACAAGTTTGATTGCTGATTCATTGTCACAAAAAATGTTGACTGGATTTAAACCAGTTATTCCCAAATCATATAGTAACTTTAAAATCCAAATTACCTCACAAGTTACAGACCCTAATGCTCTGTATTCAGATTCAGTGGAAGAACGAGAAACAGTGCTCTGTTTCTTGCTTTTCCAGGATACAAGTGAACCAACAAAATAAACAAGATATCCTGTAACATACCTTCTACTAAACAAACATTTTGCCCAATCAGCATCAACAAAACCAATAAGACTAAGAGAATCAGTTTTTGTTATATGAATTCCTTTCCCTGGACAATCTTTTAAGTATCTTAACAATCTTAAAGCTATATTCACATGAGATTTATAAGGTTTATGCATGTACTGACTTAAAATTTGAACAGCATATGAAATATCAGGTCTTGTCATAGTTAGATAGATCAGTTTACCAATTAATTTTTGAAATTCTGTAATATTTACCACATAATCAGAAGGATCTAAATCACATTCTTTCTTAATAACAAGATTAGGTTCCAAAGGTGTTTTAACAGGTTTACAAGCAATCATACCAAACTCTTGTAACAATTCCAAACAATATTTCCTTTGATTTAGGCAAATACCCTGATCGAAACATCAAAGACCTAGCAACATTAAGAATATGTCTATGTTTTCTTTCAACCACTCCATTTTGTTGTTGAGTGTGAACACATGAAGTTTGATGCAAAATACCTTTAGACTCAAACAATTGTCTCATTTTAAAATTCAAAAACTCAGTTCCATTGTCTGACCTAACTGTTTTAATTTTAACTCCAAATTGATTAAACAAAATATTAAAGAAAACAAGAACACAACCATAAACTTCATCTTTTGATTTCAACAAATAAACCCATGTAGCTCTAGAATAATCATCAACTATGGTTAAAAAATACCTAAATCCTTCTGAGGTTGTCACTCTATAAGGTCCCCAAACATCCAAATGTATTAACTCACCCAGTTTAGTAGTAACATGTTGACTAGCAGGAAATGACTCCCGAGTTTGCTTAGCCTTATGACATACATCACAGGGTGGCAGTACTTCATTACCAAAATTTAATTGAGTTCTTAGAGATCCTAGGGCTTGATCAGAAGGATGACCAAGTCTATTATGCCAAGTTAATTTTGATACACAACACACAGAAACAGAATGACTATAACTGCATGAATTACCTGAAGGTTCACTATTGATGTAATAGAGACCCTCAGATTCTCTACCATTCCCACCATCTCCTTTGATTGTAAACCCTGAATTTTACAACTATGTTCATTAAAAACAACCTCGCAATTACTGTCTTTACAAACCTTATGAACAGACAACAAGTTAACATTAAAATCAGGAACAACAAAAACATCAAAAAGAGTCAAAGAATTAGACAAATTCAAATTTCCAATTTTTTCAATTTTAGCTGAAGTACCATTAGGATGGCTAACCAGAAGATCTAATTTAGACACATCCACAGTGTCATGAAGAAGAGACTCAGAAGCAATCATATGTTGATTAGCTCCAGAATCAACAATCCACTTTAGAGGACTAACAGAGGAATTAAAGGCTTGAAACAAACAGGTACCTACCATATTAACACTGGCAGAAGTTTCCTCATTAAGCTGTCTATCACCAATAAGTTGTAAAAATTTGAAGTATTGTTCCTTGGTGAGCTGATGAAATTCTGAATCCCTACTAGAATCAGGAGTACTAGAAGGAATAGCATTACCATAAGTAGTAGTAGAGGAATTGGCAGAAACATTTTTATTAAAGCTATTCTGATTACTAGACTCATTCCTTGACTTAAAATCCTTGGGATAACCAATTAGCTTATAACATTTATCAATTGTATGACCTTTAATTCCACAATTTTTACACTAAACAGATTGAGTTTTGTTTTTATTAGTGTTATTAAACCCAGATTTGTTATTAAACCTGCTATTAAAAGCAGTAGGTTGAGACTTAGAAAAGGACTGTGAAGACTGAAGAGAAGACAAGGATCCATTTCTTTAAATAGATTCTTCTCTTGAAAGAATAGAAAATGCAGTTTTAACATTAGGTAAAGGTTCCATTAACAAAATATGACTTTTTACTTGACTATAGGACTCATCAAGCCTAGACAAAAACTGCATAAGTTTCATGAGATTAGAATGATCTTTCAATTTGATAGCAGCTTCACAAGTACACTCAGTCAAGCTAGTAAGACCATCAAATTCCTTCCACAAGGAATCAAGTTTATTAAAATAGTCAGACAAAGAAATTCCATTTTGTTTAAGTGTATTAATTTGTTGATGTATATTAAACACCACAGATCCATCTGACTTATTATAAGTTTCAAACAAATTATTCCAAATATCCTCAGCTACCTCAGAGTAAGCTTGACTCTGATATATAGAATCAGAAACAGAAGATAAAAGCCAGGAACATACAACAGCATTAGCCCTATCCCACTTAGATTTTTTTGACTCATCAA